TGAGAAATACCCACACGAGTTGACCTGTGGACAGAGCTGCATTTGTTTATGTGTGTAGTTTTGTATATGTGAGGGTTTTACTATTCCCAGAGTCCCAATTAGCTGCTTTAAATATTTGTGTTGTGCTCTGAAACAACCCACTCATTTCCTTTACACGTGATGAGAACACTAGTTATGATGTTCTCCTGCTCTTTTGTGTACTAGTATCACAAGGGACAGTGCGGTTCATGGGAAAAGTGGGTGTGAAGGAGCCAGGGATGTCTTTTGTGAATAATTCTGCCAGATTTGTAGCCAAAACCATTTTCAGTGGTGGTGGGAGGAGGACTGCATTTCTTGGTAAAAATGGAAGTCACAGAAATCCTAAACAACTTTTGATGGATTATAAGATATATAACTAAAAGATAATTTACATGTAGAATTCTACCTTATTTTGTGGTTAGGATATAATGAGATGTGTGTGAATTGGTTTATGTTTAGTATATTAAGTGTTCAATAAATGTTAGCTGCTGTTTAGTGTTGTGACAATATTTCTTGTCAGTAGTAAATTTATTAGTAGTAATCAAAATTGTGGAGATACATCACCACAGCAGTGCATGGCAGCCCAATTTGCAATCTAAATTGCGTCAGTTATTTCCTGATTTCTAGATAATGTATTTTAATTATAAGTTAATGCAGCTGGAAAGATTTAATAAGGAATGCTTAATGTTTGTTTTTTAAATATTCACTAATCATCACTCATTTTAAATTCAGAATTTCTATAATGATCTCTGTGGCTGTGCCTGAGTCCATGTCACTTTCTAAATGTGTTGGACCTGCCAATGGAGCCTTACATCCAGAAGCCAAATCACTGTGGAAGCTAAATGGTGGACATTGCTCTTGGGAGTTCTGTTAGTCTTGCTGTCCCGTCAGCATCAATCTACCTGAGCTGCTCTCTATTACCCTTACTTTCTTTTGAGTTAAAGCATCCTTCTCCTTTTTTTTTTTCTTGAAGGATCTGCAGTACCAGAGGATACTTCAAATCCCCATGAGATTGCTAGTATAGAAATGCCGGCAGCAGCTTGACATTTTTTTTCAAGTTGAGTGTTCAGTGATCAACTCATACATTAATTCTGCATTTCATGTCATAACAACCCTAAACTTATTTTAGTATACAAGAATTGTTTCCATTTCTATATCGCCAAAGAAAATGAATTCTCCCGGGGTTCCTCTTCTTCCCCTAAGACCTCTGTTTAGGGAGAATAAGGTTAAAACACTTTCTTAAGAATGACTTGTTAGATTATGTTTTAAATATATACTACAGACAAATACCTTTACTTGGCTTGGCTGACCTGAATACCGTGGGGGTGTCGGGGGATGGTTTGGGGATGAAACTGGATCAACCTCGGATCACCAGGCATTAGATTCTCATAAGGAACACACAACCTAGATCCCTTGCAGGTGCAGTTCACAATAGGGTTCACACTCCTATGAGAATCTAATGTCTCCGCTGATGTGACAGGAGGTGGAGCTCAGGCAGAAATGCTCACTCACCCACCCCTCACCTCCTGCTGTGCAGCCTGTTTCCTCACAGGTCACAGGGACTGGTATCAGTCCATGGTCCCAGGGCTGGGGATACCTGCCGTACCTAATACATTTTGGAGGAAATGATATATAGGACAAAGATGTTTAGAGGGAGATCTGGTATAAGCTGGCTGGTTAAGAGAAGTTTGGGTGTGTTTGTGACAGAGTAGAGAGAAAGAGATTGCTAGATGATTAGGGAAAGTTGCTGCGTATAAAATGGGAAAAAAGTCAGCATGCCAAAGGAAAATGCCAGGGTGGTGGTTGTTAACAATCAAATTCGCCCTCTCTACGATTTTCACCAGAATGTGTCTTTTCTGGTTCTGGTGCCTTGATTAGGAAGATCCAAAGAAGAGATGCAGGTTGTGATTCCTTGAACCACAGAACAGAAAGATGACTGCTATTTCTCCTTCACAAAAAAAGGGAAAACAAAAGTTTATATCAATGTTTCAATGTACACTCTTCACAACACAGCCTTTCATGTTTGCTTCTTTTATTAGTTAATAGTTTAACGACTTTTTTCTGCCTGTATGGTACAGCCAGTATGTGTTGTCTCCAGGGTTATCAGGAGATGATGTAGCTGTGTTAGTTATGCACTGGTACAAACTGTTTTCTCCCATTGGCCATTGTTTTCTACAGAGACTGACTTCTATTTACCAGAAATGGCACAGTCTGGCATTTGGATGCCACCTCATAGAACCATTGAGATGACATTCTGGATTATTAAAATATGTTTCATGCAATGTTGTGGGAAAAGGGGATGTGAGAACTTTATGCATTAGTAGGATAAAATGATGTTTTTGCATGTTTCACTGTTCTCTTGCAATTAGGAAAGTCGCCAGTTTTTCTACTGCTATGCTTTTAAAATGCTTGATGAAACTTTCAAAATAAATGAAAAGGAAACACTTAAAAGTAATACTCTGAAAATGAAGGAGGATATAACCTCATTACTAATAGATTATTTTTAAAGGAATCTTTCCATTTGTAAAAATAGTAGTACATATACGTTATACATATCTCTGTAAAACAGACTCCAGTAGATGCATTTTAAATATTAGTCAAATTCTTGATAAAATATAGATAGTACCAAGATACTTATTATATATAGTAGCAGATAATGTTAACCACTTTCCAAATCACCTTATAGCATTGTGATTCCTATATTTATGATCATTTAAATCATAAAGAGCTCTTCAACATATTGTCTTTAATCTTAGAACTGTGAGGAAGGCTGAAGGATATTTTCATCATTTTTGCAGAAGAGAAAATGGCCCAGATAAAAATTGGTGGAAGATGTTCTGACCCTCGTCCCCGCCAGTGTGTTCTTGCTCTGCCCTGTCTTCTGATTCCGGATGCTATCTCTAAGTTGTGTCAGGCTGTGTCACATGGGCAATACTTTTCTTTTTATCTGCATTGCTTCCATGGGTAACAATGAATAGGAGTCTTTAGGGTGCGTTGCAGAGAGTGCCTGCTTTGCTGTTAAAAGATGCCTATCAGGTAGTGGTTAAAACCACAGACCATGGAGCCGGCTGCTGGACTTTAAGCTCCAGCTCTACCACTTAGCAACTGTATGACTTTGGGAAGGGTGATTGTGCTCTCGGCCTCAGTTTTTTTAATCAGTAAATTGAGAATAATGAAAGTACCTATCTCATAGGGATGTTGTAATGCATGATTGAATGCACATATATAAAGCACAAAGAGTGACCACACTGAGCAAGTGCTTCATATGTTGGTCTGTTATTATTGCTGAAGAGTTGCACTTTTCAAAGTGGATGTGACTTCACTTATTTTTTTTTAACTTTATGTTCTGGGATACATGTGCAGAATGTGCAGGTTTGTTGAGCAGACTCATTCATGATGTCTAACCTGTTAAGAACAGACTTCCCAAAGTCTGCTGGTATAGTGAATGTTTTTTCTTTAGAAAATATATCTCTCACTGACAGAGTCTTTAGGCTCTAATCTCTAGTCTTTAGTCTCAGGCTAGATTGTGAACATGGTGTGGGGAATAGAGTGCTGATCCAGGAGGCCGAAGGCCTGAACTTTAGTCCCAGCTCTGCTATTAACCAGCTGTGACTTGGGCCAGTCAATTAACCTTATCAGGCTCAGCTTCATTTCTCCTCATGAGAAGGCAGAACTATCCACCTCCAACTCTTCTTTCAAAATCCCACACCATAATCGATGTACTTGAGAAGAAGTCTGCTTTACCACAAACATCAGGCAAAGCCCAACTATTTAATCATCCCATATAATTAAAAGCTGCTATTAGAAGGATTTAGCTTTTTTTTTTTTTTTTTTTTTTTTTTACAAAGGATAGAATTGGCAAGTGCACGTTTAGGTTTTGAGAAATAAAATATTCCAAGCTTTTGTAAAATACAAGTTTCTTCATACATCCTAAGGAAAAAACATTTATCAAATTAAAAATATAGAATGGCCTTTCATAAAATAAGTGAATTATCCTTTCTCTGACCCTCTGCTTTGTAGAATAATGCTCCAGCAATCGTTATAACCCCACATCCTCCCATATTGTCCTTTACTTTCAAGGTCACACTTCCAGGCACTGCCGTGAGAATGGAGAGGAGAGGGAAGAAGCTACTTCCTCCTCTGTCTATGCACCGTAGACACCTGTCCCCGCTCCCCCACACTCAGTCCTTCAGCCTTTGGGCCAGTACCAGCATATGCACTTTACCATTGTAACAATGAAGTAAAATAAGAAATAAAAATAGCAGGAAAAGAGCTCTGTTGGGCACTGATGTAAATGACAGCTAATGTGTTCCTGCAATCTTCATTTCCTTTTTGTTTTGATTAACATGTTGAGCTTCTGTAGACGACTCTTCTCCATCTGCCAGGTGGGAACATCATCTTCAGGATGATGGGAAAGGCAGAAGTAATGTGGGTAACTAATAATTTAACAACAGGCAGATTGCAAGGATGACCCAGTATATTAAAAACCAGCTCACCAAGCATAAGGGTATGTGACTTAACAGAAGACACTTTGCTTTGTAAGCTCTTGTACGCAGAGGGGGAGATTTTATTTTCACTTCTTTAAGGAAGAGCTTCTTTCCTTGTTTTCTCCCGAGACTAGGAATGCTGGATCTGGGTGGGGTAGGTATTGCAGCAGTGTGCAGAGTCTCACACCATATGGTGATGGAAGAGTTGATGTCCTCAGCACATAAAGAGGAGGGTTCCTCACAACAAGAATCTCAACAGACTCCCAGCAACCGCATAGCCAGTTGGTCAGGCTCAGGTTGAGGTACTTGGCTTAACAAGCAAAGTCACTTAATAATGTTAGAAAAGAACCTTGGGTTAAACCCTGGAAAAGTGAGCTTGCAGGTCTGGGTCTGTTTCCTTATTCAGCAATGGGCAGTAAGAACACAGAGTGATGTCACTCAGCACATTCCTGGCCCATAACTGTCTTCTTCATGCCTATTTTTTTCTGTTTGTAGGGCCAAGGAGATCTGTTGAAGAATGCCAAGAATGAAGCTTTAGAAAACATGAAGCAGATCCAGCTGGCATGCTTGTCCTGTGGACTGAGTAAAGCCCCCAGCAGCAGTGCTGAGGCCAAGAGCAAGCGCAGCCTGGAAGCCATAGAGGAGAAGGAAAGCAGTGAGGAGAATGGGAAGCTGTGACTGGGCGTTATTGACACATTCACCCATCTTATCAAGGACTCTGGTTTCTCATTCTTGTTTTCTTTCTTTAAATGTTTTAGAAGTTCACAAAATGATGCCCTCTATGGGGTATTGGATATAGATCTTTTCACAATGTCAGTAGTTTAGTGTAGTTAATTTATCTAAATTAAAGCCTTTAGTATCAGTATTTTAAATTCTGAGACAAGTGTCAACACCCCTGTGTGGATGCCTGTGGAAGAGGGTATGTGTGTGTGTGTGTGTGTGTGTGTGTGTGTGTGGGTGTGTGGCAGAGAGAGAGAGAGAAATTCTGTTACAATGTATTCCGTGTTGCATTATTCATTTAGTGAGTTATTCCTTGATCATTTTGGGACAATTGTGTTCATCTGAAATTCTGAAGAGCACTTACTGTAACCTGCCGCTGTGTTTAATTTTACTTCTCTGCCTTTGACATTTAATTTAGTGATCATAGCATAGCTTATTATTGAAGGAAGCCAAATTTATCAAAGCATAGATATTTTGGTAGATTAAAATATAGATTAGAAAAATTCCTAAGAATCAGAGTAGAAATAAAAGTGAATGAAAGATTAAACAGATGATCAGAATTTCTAGAAAGATTAGCAAAGTCATTTATTCAGTTAGAAAACTTTAAAACATATTTATTAAATAAAATCAAATTTTAGGAAGTTTTCTGTAGTCATTTACTAAGCATATGTCACTAGAAAAGCTGATCATAGGTGAATTTATACCTACCTGTGTGGTACTCTGAAACACACTGAAAGCTCTGTTGCAATTAGGATTTTGATGTGACAATAATATTGTTGTATAATTTCAAGATTTGTAGGAAGGTCTCATTCTTCCAAACTGAGAGTCTAGCACTCATTTTCTGTAACAGATATGGCAGCTTAGAGGTCTTGGCTTTATTTGGTTGTAATTTAGGGTACTAAATTTAAATTTAAAGATATTGTTCAAAGAATATCATGTCATCACATTGAGCTGATATAAATTCTATGGGTCAGATAATATCTTTGTGATAATTGAAGAACTAACCATTTACTAAACATCTATGATATAACCCTAACACACGCAGAAAAGCATATGTGTAAAAAGAAATGACAAATTAGGGTACATTTATAATTGCATCTAGATAATTTTTACCCTAATGTCTTCATAAAGTACTTGAGTGTAATGTTTGTTACCTCCAACAGAACTAGATGTTCTATGGTTATGAAAGAATATATTTATTTAAAACATTGCTTTTATTTTGAAAAGCTTCTTAATTAATTTGATTAACAAATATGCTAATTTGGGGAAACCTAGAGAAGATAATTGTTGAAATTTTGCAAATATAAACATCTCCTATAGCTTCTGTGTTAAGTTATTTCTGACTTCTTAACACTATTACGTTCATGTTGCACATTACTGAAAGAGTAAAGATATGATAAAAACACTTATTGTTTTCTTTTATTGCAAATTGAAAAAGCAAAGCTAATGAAAATGGGTTACTACATCAAAAATGTCTTAAAGAGTTTGCTATTTCCATGGACCAGATATGATGAAATTATTCCCTGGGTTTAAAACTGGGCACTCGAGGAGGAGGTACCTGAAGTCATTTGAAGGCAAGTTTCCAATGATACTACAATGACCTGAAAAAATTTATTTACCCTCTATTATATTTAACTTGCTGGTGGGAGGAATAGTGGAATGCAGTTGTTAAGCCCTTTGTGGTGAAAAAGAGGTTCTAAAGACAGAAACAAAACCCACCTCACATCAGCTGATTGGTTGATTTGACTAGTGTACCTCTTCATCTACTTGAATTCCATTTGGAAAATCCATGTCTTTACTGGATATACAGTTAGGCGGGAAGAGAAGATAAAGGATGGCAAATGCTCAAACGATATTTATACATTTATTTACTCCAGAGTCAAATCCAATCCTTGGAAGTAGCTTCCCTAGTTTGTTTTATTTGTCCTAGAGCTCTACTCACACTTAGGACCTACCCAACACTTCTCGAAAACATAACATGGATTCTGCCTCATCTGATGCTACTGCTGGCAGTGGGTCGTCAGCCATACTCTGCTTCATTCCACTGGGTGTCCTTGCTAGATGAGGAGTGAGATGTGGAACAAGGAGGAGCTTTGGATTCTGGGAGTGGAGCAGTGGCAAGGGAAAAGTCTAGCCTCCTGTGATGTTGCTGTCTCCAGATAGAATAGCAAAAACAAACAATGTTTTTGTGTGTGTATTATGCCTCCATGACATTGTTACATTCTATGAGGAGCATCTGCCTCCTTTCTAGACTTGAACTGTGGTAGAAAAAGCCCCCTTCTCTCTTCTATCTACTTAGATTTGGTGATGCTAGGAACGTAGTGTTTTAGATATTAATTCTATTTTTATTTATTCATTTTTACATCACCAATGGGATCTGAGGTGGTGATGACAGGTATTATCACTGGCATTTTATAGGTGAGAAAGCCCAAGGCCACTGAGGTATAAATGGAATAACTGATTTTGAACTCGGGTCTGTCCGATTTCATGTGCAAGATTATATACTTAGTGATTTTGATTTTAAATTTATTCTCAACATTTTAAACCGGACTATTAACTCTTACCTTTATAACTACAGATACAAAGAGCTGTATCATTTATTTTCTGAATATAAAATATCAATGGTCAATATAAAAATACAAAAATAGAGAACTATATACAACAGAAAAGCAAAATTACCCACTATTAACATTTTGATTTATATCTGTTTAGACACTGTTTAGAGTTTATACATACATGTAAATATGCTTTTATTTTAACAAAATTGAGATATTATATAAACTGTTTGTAGCAGGGTGTTTAAAATTTTAACAATATGTTATGGATATCTTTCTATGTCAATAAATGTGTATTTACATTAGAGTTCCAAGCCTTTGAACTGAATCTAGTCCAAAAACGATGTGTTTTATTTGGTCATTGAACATTTTTTAAAAAAATGTTTAAGCAATAGACAGCTTTTGAAATTCAGAAAATGTTACGTACAATTCAATGTCCTGCGTGTTTTAAAATACTAGATAATCTAACAACAGAGGACACCTCCCACTCCCCACCTCACAACCACCACACATAGACTTTCTTGCTTGGCATCAATTAATTGAAACTGCCCTCTCCAAAAGGGTCATATGCTGTCCAATTTTCTAGAGAGTCTTTTCATTCATTTATGTTACATCTGGACCCTGTGGACATGATAGGTGGTGAAACTCGATGAAAATTATCATTTATTGAGAGGCAAAATGAAAGAATTGCTTGAGGCCAGGAATTGAGACTAGCCTGGGAAACAAAGTAAGACTTTGTCTTTAAAAAAATTAAAAAAAATTTAATGATCATTTATAATAATTACATAGTATCTTATTATATGGCTTACCAGAATATATTTAACCGATCTCCTATTGTTAGACTTTACTCACCTAATACCTTGTTATATAAACATTCCAGTAATAAGATCAATTTTTGCAAAGTTGTTCAACTTTTTCTTTGGGATACATTTCTAAAAGTGGAATTCTTGGGTCAAAGGATACAGAGATTTTTTGTTTTGTTTTGGTTTTGGTTTTTAGGGATTTTGAGATACATTGCCAAATAGTCTCTGGAAAACTTGTTCAATTTAAAACCCCACCAGGAGTTTAGGAGAGTGCTCAAATCTTTGCTAATGATAAATTTAATTTTTCTTATTTTCGTCTTTGCCAATCTTCTAAGTTACAAAAATCTTATTTCTCTTTATCTTTAATCTAGAATGAGATTGGATGCATATTAATATGTTCATTGACTCTAAATAATCTCATTAAAAGTAAAAACTTTCATACTCCAAAGGATACTACCAAGAAAGTGAAAATAGAAACCACAGAACAGGTTTGCAGGTCATATATCTGATAGAGACTGGCGTCCAAAATTTATAAAGAACTACTACTTATTAAAAAGAAAACCAAATTTTTAAAAACTGGACAAAGGATTGGAATAGACTTTTCTTCCAAGAAGATATGCAAACAGGAAATAAGCACATAGAAACATGATAAAGATCATTAACAACTAAGATCGCATAAATCATAGCCACAATTAGATATTACTTCACACCAAATAGGTTGGCTATAATAAGAAAAAGACAGATAATAACAAGTGTTAGCAAGGATGTGGAGAAATTGGAACCATCCTACCCTGCTGGTGGGAATGTAAAATAGTCCAGCTGCTTTGGAAAATAGCTTGGCACTTCCTCAAAAGGTTAAAAAAACACAGAGTTACCATATGACCCAGAAATTCTACTCTTAGATTCTACCCAAGAGAAATGAAAATATATGTCCACACAAAAGCTTGTACACAAATGTTCATGGCAGCATTATTTATAATAGTCAAAAGTAGAAACAATCCAAATGTCTATCAACTGATGAAAGGATAAATAAAAATTACATATTCATACATTGGATTCCTCAACAATAAAAAGAAATGAAGTACTGATACATGCTACAAGAGTATACCTTGAAAACATTATGCTAAGTGAAGGAAATCAGGCACAAAGGCCACATATTGTACAGTTCCATTTTTATAAAATATCCAGAATAGGCAAATCAATAGAGATAGAAAGTAGACTAATGATTGCCAGTGGCTGTGGGGGTCTGGGAGTGACTGCTAATGGGTATGAGTTTTCTTATTGGTGTGATGAAAATGTTCTGGAATTAGAAATAATGGTGATGTTTGTTTACATAATTTGTGAATGTACTAAAAGCTATTAATTGTATAGTTTAAAGAGTGAATTTTATGGTATGTAAATTATCTCAGTAAAAGGGTTATAAAAAGAGAAATAAAAAAAGAATTTAAACAATGAACAGGGTATCAGAGAATAGTGAAATAGCTTCAAGAATCTAATACATATGAAACTGGAGAGAAGAGCAGGAAAGAAGAAAATTTGAAGAAATAATGGCTAAAAAAATTCTCTTTTGTAATGAAAACTATAACCCCAAGATCCAAGAATCTCAAAAATTTCAAGGACAAGAAACATGAGAAAAACAAGTTAGTCTGTTTTGTGCTGCTGTAATAGAATGCCACAGATTGTGTAATTTACAAAGAAAATAAGTTTATTTGGTTTACAGTTCTGGAGGCTGAGAAGTCCAAGAGCATGGCTTTGGCATCTGCTGAGTGTAATTCCATGCCAGAAGGGGAAAAGGTGGAAGGTCAAGAGAGCCCATATGAAGGAGGTTTTGCTATTATAACAAAGTCACCTCCTCTACAACTACCCCACTCCAATGATAACACCCTTCATGAGGGTGGAGCCCTCATGACCCAATTACCCCTTATTTGGCCCCACTTCCCAACACTCTGGCATTGGGAATCCAATTAAGTTTCCAACACACGAGTTTTGGTGACACCTTCAAACCATTGCAACAACCAAGGCATATCATAGCCAAATAGTTCAAAAGTAGTGATAATGAGATAATCTTAAAAGCAGTCAGTAAAAAAAGACATGCACAGAGAAAATAAGAAAGATAGCATATGTCTTATTGTTACCATGCAAATGAGATGCCAGCGGAGTAACTTCTTTAAAGTATTGAAAACGAAGCAAAAACTGTAATCCTAGAATTCTATACCTAGTAAAAATGAATTCTAGAATTCCATACCTATTCAAAAATGAAGGTTATACAAAAAATTTTTCAAAAGCTGAATTCATCACCAATAGACTTACACTGTAAGAAATGTTAAAGGAAATCCTTCAGGCTAAAGGAAAATGATGCCAGGTCAAAATATGGATGTACAAAAACAGATGAAGAGAGAGAGCTAGAAATAGTAACTGCAGGGATAAATATGTCTGGCCGTTTGTATTTAGGGGTTGTGCATCTGTGGATTCAACCAACAATGGATTAAAAATACTTTAAAAAATTGATAAAAATAACAATACAAAATTAAATACAAATAAAAATACAGTACAATAATTTACATAGCATTTACATTTAATTGGGTATTATAAGTAGTCTAGGGATAATTTAAGGTATACAGGAAGACATATAAAGGTTATATGCAAACACTATGTTATTTTATGAAAGAGACTTGAACATCTAAGGATTTTGGTATTTGCAAGGGGTGAATGGGGTATTTGCAAGTGGTGAATGAGGAGGCCTGGAACCAATCTTCTGCTGATATTGAGGTACAACTGTAAAAGGTGTACTACTTAAATCTCTTATTGTATTGTAACTTGTATAAGTAATGAAATTAAAAGGCAGAAATTGTCAGACTGAATAAAATGAAAAGGCCAAATAATATGCTGCTTACAAGAAATGCAATTCAAATATAAGGACACAATTAGTTTAAAGGAAAAGAATCGGAAAAGATACACCATGACAACACAAGTCAAAAGAAAGCTGCTGTGGATATATTAATATCAGATGTAGCGGATTTCAGAGCAATGAATATTACCAGGGATAAAGAAAGGTATTACATAATAATTAAGGCATCAATTAATCAAGAAGATGTAATAATCCAAAGCATTTATGCAACTAATATCGGAGCTCCAAAATACATGAAGCAAAAACCAGTGGAATTGATAGGAGAAACACACAATTACACAATTATAGTCAGAATTTTCAATATCTTTCTCAATAGAGAGAACAACTAGACAGGAAATCATTAAGGATATAGATGATTTAAATTATATGATCAACTACCTCAACGTAATTGACATTTATGGAACACTCCACCACCAACAACAGCAGAGTACATATTATTTTCAAGTACACAGAAAGCAGTTACCAATATAGACCATATTCTGGATCATAAAACACATCTCAATAAATTTAAAAGAATTAATGTTATATAAAGTATGTGCTCTGACCACAAAGGAATTAGAGATCAATAAAAGAAATATTTTTGAAAAATCTCAACATATTTGAAAACTAAATAACTCACTTCTAAATAACTCCTGTGTCAAAGAAGAAATTAAAAAGGAAATCAGAAAGTACTTTGAATTTAAGTGTCGAACATCAAAATTCATGGGATAACACTAACACTATACTTAGGAAATTTATAGCAATTAACACCTGTATTAGAAAAAAAGAAATTTCCCAAACCAAAAACTTCCATTTTCATCTTAAGAAACTAGAAAAAAAAGAGAAAATTAAGTTCAAAATAGAAACAAG